AATTTTTTGCCTGAAAAATTTTTTTTTATGAAATTCTGGTGCAGTATCAGACTTTCGAGCGATTTAAAAATTTAATTAATTCCTCCATATGGGGATCGATGCAGCCGCCCGGTGATGTTTAACGTTGGGCCTCTCGCTCTTGATGAATTTAATCAACGCTGTCAGTCAATAGCCCGCTCCAATTTAATTACATCCTACGGTGCCCCGTGCTTTAATTTTCCGAAATTTGAACGGTTACCTAACCACCTCCATCCACACAGATCCAATTCAAATCAGATCACTACTTTTTATCGACTACATCAAATAATTCTTATCTGTACTATCGAAAATAATTTATATATTATAATCAGTAGGGCACGGAACTTTTGTAACAAAACGATACGATTTCCCCCTCTACTTGTTCTCAGTGGCTAGTTTTCTGGGCTTGTTTTTTTAGAAACGTCACCGATTGGCAACAACAAGTGGAGGGGGAAAATCGTTTTGTTACAAAAGTTCCGTGCCCTAATAATCAGGGTGTATAATCATATCTCACATTGAAATGGTATTATGCGCCGAGGATCTAGATCTACAAAAGCACCTTTATTATGAAACCTATACCCATCCCTAATGATATTAGATATAATTATCTTAATAATGTGATATGACAAGGTATTGAATTGCCGAGTTCGCTTGCGATTGAGGCTCCATATTTGCCAAAAGACCTTTATAATAAGCTCTATATCTATCCCTAATGATATTAAATACAATTGTCTTATCATTGTGATAGCTATTTGTGTACTAAAACGTTGAAATCGTGTTATGAGCCGAGGTTGCTTGCAGCCGAGGCTCCAGATCTACAACACCAGCTTATTATGACACTTATAGCCATCCCTAATGATATTAAATGTAATTATCTTAATATCATGATATACCAGGGTATTGAAATCGTATTATGAGCCGAAGTTGCTTGCGGCCGAGGCTCCATATCTACAAAACCAGCTTATTATGACACTTATAGTTATCCCTAATGATATTAAATGTAATTATCTTAATACCATGATATACCAGGGTATTGAAATCGTATTATGAGCCGAAATTGCTTGAGGCTGAGGCTCCATATTTGCAAAAAGACCTTTATAATAAGCTCTATATCTATCCCTAATGATATGAAATACAATTATCTTACTATTAGGATAGGTATTTGTATACTAAAACGTTGAAATCGTGTTATGAGCCGAGGTTGCTTGCAGCCGAGGCTCCATATCTACAAAACCAGCTTATTATGACACTTATAGTTATCCCTAATGATATTAAATGTAATTATCTTAATACAATGATATACCAGGGTATTGAAATCGTATTATGAGCCGAAATTGCTTGAGGCTGAGGCCCCATATTTGCAAAAAGACCTTTATAATGAACTCTATATCCCTCCCTTATGATATTAAATGCAATTATCTTAACATTGTGATAGCTATTTGTGTACTAAAACGTTGAAATCGTTCTATGAGTTGAGGTTGCTTGCGGCCGATGCTCCAGATCTACAAAACCTGCTTATTATGACACTTATAGCCATCCCTAATGATATTAAATGTAATTATCTTAATACCGTGATATACCAGGGTATTGAAATCGTATTATGACCCAAAGTTGCTTGAGGCTGAGACTCCAAATTTACAAAAGGCCTTTATAATGAACTTTATGTCTATGCCTAATGATATTAAATGCAAGTATCTTAACTTTGTGATGTGTACTAACACATTGAAATAGTTTTACGACCAGACTCATAAAACTATTGAGCTATGGAGCTGAGACTCCAAATCTACAAAAACACCTTTATTATGAAATCTGTTCCCTAGTGATAATATCCTTAATGATATTAAATACAACTATATGATATAAATATCGTAATAATTATTCGTATTCCAAGGTACTGAAATTCAATTTTGAGCTGAGATCGCTTGGGAACGAGGTTTCACATTTATAACAAAGCTTTTCTAATGATATTAAATGGTTAAGTAATGTAGTGCAGATTAAGGGCACTAAACGCATAGTAATTAGCCGAAGTTTCAACGCAATGTAGCCATTATACAGGGTGATTCTCAACTTATGCGCATACACTTGACGATTTATTTCTCGAGACAAATAATGGGTGATAGGTGTTGTAGTTTGTGTGTTTGGTGGTTGGTGGACAGGTCGAGGTAATCCATTGGGCTGGCCATCTCGTTTAGGCCGCGCTATCATATCATCTCCAAAGCGTACAGTCTTTGCTTCCAGAAATCATCCTACATAGCAACACCAAACTGTCTCATCTGTTTAGAACTAATCTTATACTGAATACTTATTTCATCTTCTGCAAAAAATTTTTTACATATATTTGAGTGTGTCGTTGGCTTACGTCCTTCTGATTGCAAGAGTTACCTACACAAATGATACATGACGAAATTTAGTAACGAGATGAAGAATGACATGTACGGATCACACAGTGTTGAGGAAAATGTTGAGAGCATCAAAAAGAAGATAGAACTCCGGCAAAAAAACGTTCGACAAAGTAACGAAAAAAGGCAAACACTACAAAGTATGTATTGTAAAGTATAGTTACACTATGAATGATTACAAAATCAAGATTGAGTGCTATGCAGATGATACCGTCCGCCAACACCCTGGTTTAAGCCACGCTAGTGGGACATCGTGGATTCAGCGAGCCTAATTGTGTATAGAAAATATTGGAAACAAGTTGGAACACTTGCTTTGATGTCATTTGAAAATTTTATATGTATTCTTGATTTGAAAGTAAATTTCATGGAAACTAAAAAACTTTTGCTACAATTTTCTTCACCTACTACTTATTATTTGTCATGAGATAGAATCATTCTGGGAGAACAGTTTACTTGATATTGAGTAATCCTGGAGAGCACCTCTATCAACCGGGGTCTTCTCCATCTGCATGTCGTCACCCAGTTTTGAGTGTTGTGTTGGTGTAAATATGTAGGACAAGATTAGAGTATTGATTCTCGCCATTGCTTTTAATATATCTCGACGGAGTGGAACATCTTTTGATAATCTATAAGGGTTAGTAGACGCCTTTTCGAACAGCAGGATAACCTTCGAATTATTCCACATTGTTGAAATCCTCTGTTCTTGCAGAGATCTGTTCAACAAGATTAGCAATGCATCCGCGAGGAGTTTCTCTCGTATCTTAAGCATTTCGGATTTCTTTAGGTATGATCTTATTGTGGGCTTGTATCCATGAGGGTCATCGTGGCACTCATCTATTATCCCTTTAGTTGGTGGAAATCCATACGACGCAAGGTTTCCGTTGATTGCACCTTCGTCTGGATGATTTCCTAATGTTCGCGTTGCCTTTGTTCTAGTTTTGCCAAAGTTGGATATGCCTAGCTCTTTATCAGTTTGCGTCTCTCTCGCTTAGTCTCGATACTGATTTTCGCTCTTACCATCTGTGAAATTTTCTTTGTTGTTGGTGAGGATGTAGTTGATTTCATTTTTCACCCTTTTGTTTAGATTTTTCTATATCCAATTCCGTTGGGGTGGCTTCTTGAAGTGAGTGGTCATGAATAGTCCAGTTAGATTTGACCCTATTCGTTCCTGTTTCCTAAGCCAAATGGCCTACTTTTCTTAAGATTAAAAACTTATACCTCTTCTAAACCTATCAATGATGTTTTTGAACATTTTATTATAAATGCCGAAAATATGGGAGAAGACACTCTCTTGAGGTGTGTTATCAGCTGAATTAGCATTATAGATATGTCAGCTATGTCTTTGAGGATGGATGTATGTGTGGGATGAGTATACAACAAATAATGAAAGATGGAAAGTTGAAGAAGTAAGAGGATATGTATTAAGATGATATGATATAGAGCCACTGTGAATCATGTGGAGATTCTTTATGGAGAGATTGTTTTAATTTTGCAATAACCTTATAATATTATGAATCTAAATTCGATGCATTTCTTAATATAAATCCACCTATATCACCATTGGAGATGATTTTAAGTTAGTTTTGAGAAGTCAATCAGGGTGGATTTTCACATTTCAACTCCCTAACGAAGCGTTCAATCGCTCAAATTGAATACTCACGCACATCTACAATGTGGCGTGCTTTTCAAAAGCTTCGTTATCGACTCTACTCCAACGGGGACCGAACTGTTCCTGCGTTCACAGGGGAACAGAATGACATTTTTAGTGCGATATTTCTGACAATAGTAGGTTCGTTAATGTTAACAAGCGGTTGATTAACCATCACCTCCGTTTTTTATACCCGGTTAAGTTTCAAGTAAAAATTCACCGTTTTACGATCTAATTGTTTTTACTAACTACTTAAAAACAATTAGATAACAACAACAATTTAGAAAGCGAAGAGTTTTACGTAAATTTTAATTAACCTCTTAAATAACAACCTCGATGACCTTTCCTAATCGAGTGCTTACAGTAAACAAAATAGCAACATTAAATAGAGGTAAATTGAAGCGTTATAGGAATTTGAGACCTCGAAGTTCGCGGTCATCAGTGTAAGTCACAAGATTGAAGCCAATTACTGTCGGAAAAGAAGAAGTAAAAGAAAAAAAAGTTGATACGTAAGGAAGAAGAATACGGCTCATTGTGAGGACAAGACGAAGGCATTACGTACGGCAATAAAGACATATAATCCTCTGGTGGCGTCGATATTTATGCCTGTAACGACTTTAATTAGCCTTCTATATAGAACCGGCAAGTTGAGCGAAAGGTTCGTCTAATTAAATCAGTTATTCCCAGTCGACGCGTTATTGTTGCGTTTCGGATTCGTTAAGCGAAGACGCGCCGGTCACAAACTAATGGGACATTGTCCGATGAACATAAAAATAAATAGTACGACGTATTTTTAATTGGACGATGTGATGTTGGGACATCGCCGGCTGCTATGCGGGCGCTCGTTTAATGCGCAAAAACCTATTAAATACCATCGTTTAGTGCCAGGTAGCGATTGTCGGTCGAATAAGAAAAAGAATTAATTAAGAAAAAAAGAGACAAATAGATTTAATTTGTTAATCTTATTTTATTACGAATTAAGGTTGCGATGAAGTTAGTTGTGTTACATTCATTCCACCGTAATTTATAACATCGATATGGGGGCGATCACGTGGTCGTGGTTTTTTAAATAAATTTCGAATTGAAGTAATAGATTCTCCAGCCCAACTTTTAAAATCACTTACAGCATCGAAAATAGAACACTAAAATCGAAAAAATTAATCAAAATTATTCTATTTGGGTTTATAACATTTTATTAAGAAATTATTATTATAAAAATTAATCTTTAGTTATATTTAATGCAACATCCGAAGAATTAGCATGATTTATAATCGTTACTTTAGGTCTTGGGGGTGGAGGTTTTTTTGAATCTTCTCTTACACCTTTAAAGCTAGAGAGTCCTTCGGTTATCCAACTTTTAAAATCTTTAATTGTATTTAAAATGAAACACTAAAAAAATATTATAAACCCAAAATCTTTATTTATCCCATATTTTACTCACTTGACTTATACAGGATAATATTCCAATGAAAAGAATAAGTTGGAGATATCCTTTGAACATGGTTGTAAATAAACCTCGGCTCTAAGGTAACAAGAAATGGACACTGTAACGCGATGGAACGACCAGAGTGTGGATTCCCGGTGTCCGTTTTCATAAGTGCAAAAGTGAATGTTCCCGCAATAGGGACGGCTCGAAATTGAATTACAGAGTCTCGACTGCTATTACTTATAAGCCACCCACGCGGTTTCATACAACCCATAAGATCCGAATCGTTTCGGTCTTTGATGAACGTCGGTTTGTGGTCAATGACTCATTAAATCATTTCATTAAATCATTTGATAGTGTTTTATGGACGATTAAAACAAGAAAATTACCCATTACTCATTTTTCTTTTCTTTTATTTAAATTATTTTTTTCAAACAATTTCATCAATTTGATTCTAAATCCAAATTAGTGGTCGATTCAATTTCATTTTGATTCTCCTCTGGTTTCTTTTTAACTAAATGCACAACGACTTCCACATCTTTAGGAACATCAAGGCTAAAATCGGGTTGATTCTTTTTCGGTTTCCCAAAAAAAGGATTTTCCGCGATCCAAGTTCCTATAGCTTTTGCATCAAGAGACCTCCAAGGTCTCATAATATTAAATATTCCAGAGTGCTATAAATTGTGGATTTATAAATCAAATGGAAATTATTTATTTAACGGCTACTTACGATTCCATTCAATGTTAAACTTATCAGAATTACCAACGCAAATGTTGCTTTGTACATCGTGAAAGGAAACAATCAACGGTACGTGAGGTAAAGTTAGGTTTCGGTGCCTAAGGCGATTTTTTTGCTTTAATAATAACGTGTACGTTGTGAATATATGGTGTGTGTTATCGTAATAATGCAACAACAATTATTATTGTTGCCTTTTTTTAATGTACCCCTTCTTTTTATTTTTCTTGATTCATTGTTTGTACACACGTAGATTTTAAATTAGCAACAATTACCATTTAATTATGTTCAGCACTCATTTTATTTACTTATTTATTTCTATTTATTCGTAGATGTGAAGTAAATACTTTTTCTTTAAACTTTTTATTAATAGTTAATAGATGATTCAATCTTATCAAACAGTTCCAGTATATTGTGCCTAATTATATCTTTTTCTGACATATTGGAAGAGTCTCAGAGTCTGCAAGGTAATGTTGTGGCCACGTAAAAACCATCTCTCTTACTTCATCGGGCAAAGATGAAGCAATTAGGATTATCTTCTAGTAGCAGCTATCATAAGCTACGGTGAATGTGGGCAATGTGATATAAATCAGCATCCTCCCAGTTAAGAATACATTAAGTCCTATAGGTTAAGACTCAATGGCAAAAGCTATACTGCGGAAGACATAAAGGCAGCATGAGATGTTGAGTGATTTTTTAGTTCATCAATTATTTCTGGTTTACTTTAGAAGAGAGCTACACTTGTCCTGCCAAATGATTGTATTGTTAAGTATTCTCTTCCTGTTCTGCTCTGGTATCAAGTTCCAAATCTACAAAAGTGGGAAGGATCGTGAATTATGAGTAAAAGTCCGATTAGTGGCAAGTCAAACGGTTTTCAATATGTTATTTGTGAGATACAGTGCTTCTTTGGAGTGTGTGCTGCCAAATGGTTATATTGTTAAGGTTGAGTGTGTGCTGCTATCATATCTTTTTCCGTTCTACTCTGGTATCAAGTTCCAAATCTGCAAAAGTGGGAATGATCGTGAATTATGACTGAAAGTCCCATTGGTGGCAAGTCGAACGGTTTTCAGTGTGCTATCTATGTGGTACAGTGGTTCTTTGGAGTGTGTGTTGCCAAATGATTGTATTGTTAATATTAATAATAGTTTATTGGCATAAAAGAATACTACAATATAAGTAATACATAAAAATTACTAAGTATAGAATTTGTCAAAGGGTATTTCCATCAGTAAGCCAAATTATGGCGTCTTGGACTTTCTGGAAATCCCATACACGAAACAAAAAAAAGGATATATATATATAAAAGAACATAACAAAACCTCTTGAACAGTTGGATACGGTGACGAGGAATGTCAATGAGGTCCTTACGCCGTACATTAATATTATGAATGTCCGTTCTGTAAGCAATTTTGTTGGTGAGGTAAGGTGGTAGTTTATACCCTAGCTTATACGATACTCTCTGAGGTCGGCGTATATCAAATATAAAACGAACACAATAATTCTGAACTACCTGAATACGTCGTGCATCAGCAGTCAACAGGCAGTAGCCCTACATTGTGCCACAATATGTAAAATTGGATAAAATTACAGACTCACAAAGATTCTTTTTAATATCGACGTTCAAGACTTGTCTATGAGCAAACAGCATTTGCAATTTTGCGTAAGCACGCCTGATCAGTTCACTTGTGTTCCGGGTAAACCTTAAGCTGTCGTCAATGTAAAGTCCAAGACTTCTTCTCCAATTCAGTTCCATCTATAAAGATATGGGCCATATTGCTGATAATCGCTTTGGATTCCTTAACCATGTATACCGATTGATTCCCATTTAACAAAAGACCATATTTTTTAGTAATACTTATAAATTTATCTAAATCACTGTTTACAACTGGAACAGACTCTAGCACATTATTTGAGTTAAAGCTGTGGTAAAGTTGTGTGTCATCCGTATAGATATAAAACTTTGAGCAGAAGCTAACAACATATAGATAGTGAACAAAAGGAGACCCAATGTAGAGCTCTGCGGTACACCAGACCACAATACGGCTGGATACGACACATCATTATCAATAACTACATACTGACTATTCTTTTACTTTAATATTATTTACTTACTACTATACCCAGGTCTAATTCCTGATTGGATGGAGGGCAGAATATGAAAGCGTTCCAAGTGCTCACGTATTTGTTCCACCACGACCCTTTCCAAAATTCCCGACAAAGTACTCAAAATACTAATTAGCCTCATCCGAGAAGGAAGAAGCAGTTGATGATTTAGGCATAGGAACAACTTTGGCAGATTTCCATTTCTCAGGAAAGACACCAAATTCTAAACAAGAGTTAATTACATGAAGGAGGCAGGGAGTTATGTGTGGACAATAGAAACCCAGCATCCTAAGGCTTATACCATCAATCCCTGCTACCTGATAAGGACCACTGTTAAGGTTGAGTGTGTGCTGACATCATATTTTCTTCCTGTTCTACTCTGATATCAAGTTCCAAATCTCCAAAAGTGAGAATGATTGTGAATTATGAGTGAGAGTCCTATTGGTAGCAATTCAAACGATGTTCAATATGTTATTTGTGAGATACAGTGCTTCTTTAGAGTATGTGCTGTCAAATAGTTGTATTATTAAGGTTGAGTGTGTGCTCCCATCATATTCTCTTCCTGTTCTACTCTGGTATCAAGTTCTAAATCTCCAAAAATGGGAATGATCGTGAATTATAAGTAAAAATCACATTGGTGGCAAGTCAAACGATTTTCAATGTGTTATCTGTGAGGTTCAGTACTTTTTTTCTTTATCATGAACTGATATAAAGCGAATTAATTACATTTAGGTTGCAAATCGCCTACTCTAATGAACATTATATACCTCTCGTAGTAATATGAATTACGCCATCTATCAATAAGTAGATTATCTATTCCTTATAACGGCTGTAGGCGCCATCTATTAGACATTTTATTCCGTTTATCTTTGATTGTTAATCTTTAACGAACATATGGAACTCATCTCCCTCAGTCACTTAAAATATGGAAAATAGAAATTTTGAATTGAAAAGTAATAGGGTGTATTATAAATTTTTGCAAAGTTTGAAATGAACTGTAAAGAGAAAAAGGGATGGATTCGGTAATCTATTGTGAAGCACTTTGAGATATTAATAACGTCAGAGGGGGTATATCAACCGGAGCCCCATATTAACCAAACTCAAAATCTACCAGGAAATAGTTTCCCCAGTTTAATATTGATACCCGCAGAATTACCAGAGAGCCAGTGAGTGGCGGGAGGTTTAAACAAGCGTCCGAGCCAGCAACGGGGACTGATTCGAGGAAGGAGGGAGCGAAAAGGGGGCGGCTATGTCGGGCGCTAAGTAGCCCCATTTATAACGCGCCGGCATCAGAGCAATTCGCATTATCCGACATTACGCTTAATCGTTCCGAGCATTCTGAGAACGGAGTAATTAATGCAGTATACATGTCGTTAGCATTCCCGGTGCAGTCCGGCGGTCGAGGGGGGCCACGCGCTGGGGATTGGGCCGCCGTTATACTGGATAATCGAGCCGGGCCGCTCGACAATTGCCGATTGATTGAAAAATACCGCGAGTGACTGACTCCTTTCGCCCGGGCGAAGTTTTCAATTTAAGGATGTAAATTAGTTCAAATTAAATCGAAAATATGGATTCTTTTCAGTCCGCGCCCCGATCTAATTAAGATAACGCGACGGCGGCCCCACTACGTAATAGGTTTTGCAGGAAGGACGCGTCGCAGCACTGCCACCAGACCGTGGCTCGTGCCGACGTTATTCCTCCGACAACCACCCCCACTCGTTTCACCATCAACGTCGTCTTTCAATATTTTCTTCACACATATTAACACATATTCCACCTTATTTTCTTTTCAATTTTAAAACAGGGGTACACACTTGGAAGTGTTAAATTGAAATCTGGCGTCGTTTCTAATCTAAACCACAATAGGTACCATTGTTCCGGTTGCCGTCGGCCATTGCGCCGCCATCGGGGCACTAATCTACGGCGAACAATTACCTTGCATTAATTAAATTAAATTGACGTGGGAGCCCCCTAATTGGAACGACTAATAATTAATAGGCTTATGGAAGTGTTCTGGGGTGCTCGTTACAGCCGGGGCCCCGAGGCCGGTTCTCGGCACTCGCCGACACCGCCCCTTCGTTCGGATCTGATTTTGTTATTATTCATCGCGCTTGTTAGCCGGCGCTGGTGTGCGGCTTCCGGATTAAGAGACGGGCGAAAGGTCGTCGCGTAGCTGACCCGCGGCCCCCGCGTGTGTCTCCTCCTCTGTTACACGTCCGCCAATTAGTTGCCGCCACCGGCGGCGTCGGCTGTGACGTCGCTCTACCTAATTAGACGCCTTGTTTGCCAGGAGAGCCGCTGAAGGACCGAACGCGACTTCACGCAAATTAAGGACACCAAATATAATTCTGCGGAAGGTTCTTATAACGACCATTGTTAATTACTGAGATCACGTGATGTCGCATATCAAATCCATAATGTTCCATCGAGAATCTAGGTACACGGATGCTTCAAAGGCAGTTGGATCCGGAGTAGGACCAAATTGACCCTCAGCTAGGACATAACCATTTTTTAAGCAGATGTACTTGCTACAAACTTCTGCACCGCTTTGAACCTACAAAAGGGACAATTCAAGCCTACACATGTATACCAGTGTATCAACAACCTGAGAGAACTCCCTTAAAAATAGTGTTGAAGACAGAATGGACTAAAATACCACCTCAATTAACCACTAAACTAGCCGAATCGATGCTGTTATAAACCAAACAAGCATTTATCAAAGTATTATTGTTATTCCAAATGTATAATTTTCATAAGAATAAGTACTGGTGGCAAAACACTAAAAGTGGTTTCATACTGTTAATAAAAGCGTAGATATTACTTCCAGAAAACGGTTGTTGCTTACAGAGAGATAAGTACTGGTGGCAGAAGACTAAATACTGCCAATAAAAGCCTAGATATTACCTTCAAAAAATGATTACTGCTTAAAAAAGTGAAAATACTGTATGCAGAAGATCAGATACTGCTAGTAGAAGCCTAAATATCTTTTAGAAGACAATTACTGCTTGTGTGAGAATAAGTAATGATGGCAGAAGACTAAAAATGTCGAAGAGTATGATAACTCCGTCGCAAAACAAAACCAAAAAGGTGTTATGCCTCAGCAAAGGAGATCTAAGAACGCTCTCAGATTTC